TTGGTCATTTATGGGGTTTCAAGGTTTTGCCTGATTTATTGGGTGAGTGAATGAGTTTAGTTTTACGCCGCACTCAGCAATATTTCAGCTGTATGGCGGCGGTCTGTAAATAGTCGAGCCTGGACTAGACAATCCAGTGACCAACAGCATGAGTATATAACTACACCTACACGATAACATGTGTCAAGCGAGTTAATTGCCGCTCTCACAGTTGGCAATATATCACTTCGGTATGTAAATAATTAAGTTTGGGCCAGACGAACTAGTGATTATCATTGCCAGTGACATACAATGACGCGAGTCTGACCTCACAACCTGATCCCGTTAGTCGCCTCATTCGATAAGTATGGGTTGCTGAAGACCAAATCTAACCCGGATCTTTACGGGATGAATAAATACTAGCATAGGTATTGGTCAATATTATGTACATCTGAAGTGACCGGATAACTATGTCCCCCTAAATGTGCCTCCTTGCACATCGTCCTCCACCACCCCTCCCCCGACCTCCACCCTTGTCCAGAATATCACATAGTGAATCTCTTAAGATCGATCGGCGTGTTAAATCGCTTTCAAAATCATTGACATAAACATATAATACCTCCATGGCGTAGAATGAATAGCCTTGACTTTATTGATTATTGTAACGCTAGCTGCAATTGCAATTAACTTGAGTTAGTATGATATTAGACTTCATGCTATTCCATTAGTAAGATATCTCACAACCCGTTGTGTTTGTGGAGTGCTTTCTGAAATCCATCTTGTCATACTTGTTTAGAGTAATGTATTTATGTGCAGGGCCGTCAATGATTCCAGTATTACCGTCACGATCTCTACAATCACAAGCATCATGCTACCATCACAGTCTGAGCCTGTATGACGGGTTAGCATTGATATTCAGCAACACATGCTTGTAGTGAAGGAGTGAGTGAGTGAGTTTAGGATTACGCAGCACTCAGCAATATTCCAGCTATATGGCGGCGGTCTGTAAATAATCGAGTCTGGACCAGCTATATCCAGTGATCAACAGCATGAGCATTGATCTGTGCAATTGGGATACGATGACATGTGTCAACCAAGTCAGCGAGTCTGACCACCCGATCCCGTTAGTCGCTTCTTACGACAAGCATGGGTTACTGACGATCAATTCTAACTCGGATCTTCACATGTTAATGTTACAATAAACCACTCTAGTGTTCCCCCAGGATCCAAATGGGCATGCAGTGGCAGAATTACAAGTACTATGTTAAGTTATTTATGTATATGATTCTTAAAGGCTCGAAGAGGAAAGTTAAATCACTGAACTTTAACATGAAATAGACAATATAACCCACCAAGTGTTAATATTAATTATTGCATTACAAAGAAAGACAGGGCGCCAAATAAAAAGGGCATGGTGTTGTGTCCTGCTAACAATGCCTGGGGGAAACACTACACTCTCTCACTATGTCACATTGTACCACGGTCACGCTCACACGATGTCACACTGTCACGGTCACACTCACACGATGCCTCACTGTGTCACGGTCACAGTCACACGGTGCCACACTGTGTCACGGTCACAGTCACAAGATGCCACACTGTGTCACGGTCACACTCACACGATGCCACACTGTGTCACGGTCACACTCACGGTCACACGGTGCCGCACTGTGTCACGGTCACACTCACACGATGCCGCACTGTGTCACGGTCACACTCACGGTGCCACACTGATGCCACACTGTGTCACGGTCACACTCACACGGTGCCGCACTGTGTCACGGTCACGGTCACACCGCACTGTGTCACACACGATGCCACACTGTGTCACACGTCACACTCACACGGTGCCACACTGTGTCACGGTCACACTCACAATACGATCCACACGACGGTGCCGCACACTCACACGATGCCACACTGTGTCACGGTCACACACGATGCCACACTGTGTCACGGTCACGTCACACGATGCCGCACTGTGTCACGGTCACACCACACACGATGCCGCACTGTGCCACGGTCACACTCACACGATGCCACACTGTGTCACGGTCACACTCACACGATGCCACACTGTGTCACGGTCACGGTCACACTCACACGATGCCACACACACGGTCACACTCACGGTGCCACATGCCGCACTGTGTCACGGTCACACTCACACGATGCCACACTGTGTCACGGTCACACTCCACACGATGCCACACTGTGTCACGGTCACTCACACGTCACGTGTCACACTCACACACGGTGCCACACTGTGTGTCACGGTCACACGGTCACACTCACACGGTGCCACACTGTGTCACGGTCACACTCACACGATGCCACTCTGTCACGGTCACACTCACACGATGCCGCACTGTGTCACGGTCACACTCACACGGTGCCACACTGTGTCACGGTCACACTCACACGGTGCCACACTGTGTCACGGTCACACTCACACGATGCCGATGCCGGTCACACTGTCACGCCACACTGCCGCACTGTGTCACGGTCACACTCACACGATGCCGCTCTGTGTCACGCTATGTGTCACTGTACTCCTTGTCACACATCGTCACATGCCACAATCGACCCTCATGGAGTCTTGTTTCACACTTATATAACTTGTAGTCAGCAATATTGCAGGTGTAGAAAATGATAATAATTTCTAAGCGAACCAGTAGTTCTCGATCATTGCGGTTTCATGGTGGTCAGAGGACCTCATCTAACATAGGTGTCTCGTACAGCCTTGCAGTTGGCATCTCTGTTGTTTTATACGAGTGAGTGAGTTTAGTTTTACGACGCTTTTAGCAATATTCCAGCAATATCACGGCGGGGACACCAGAAATGGCATCGGCGTAACGAGCGAACGCTTTAACCACTACCACACCGCCCTTGTTTTAAACGAGTCCATGTGAGTAGGAATCGATCACATAATATACATCGGTTGGCAACTCAAAATGACGATCTTATTTTTGACAACTTATATAAAATTTGACAGTCCCCTTAAAATATTAGAGTCCAAAAGTTTGTTTTTTGTATTGACACTGCACGCTGTCTAAACAAGCCAGTTTTTGATATCAAACCAGTTATTAAACTGCATTCCATGGTATTCCATCAGTATGACGGAATCCTGTATGTAACTAGGCTGGTCACTCAAGTGGTCGCTGTCATGACCCGCAGCGTCTGACCAGACGAAACATGTATGACATTTTGATATATTACCTTCATCGGAAATGTTCAATAAGGTTATATAAACCACACTGGAATACCTGATAACCAGTGAAGAAGAACGTACACATAACAGCATACCACAGATGTGTTCAAGTGAATTGTACAATAGAAAATGTGAGATTTCCTCAACTCACCTGGTTATGCAGGTACATGTCCATATGTAGCTATATGCATGAACGTGAATACTCTTGTCCGCCTCTACTAATCACTATTTTCTAGTTCATGCATACATGCATGCATGCATATAGATATACATATACTTACAGCATATAGATATACCTACATACCTACAGCATATACGTGTACATATGTCTACATCACATATGATCAATATATGATCAAATCACATATGGTTACTGAAGATCTAACCCGGACCTTCACGGGTACACACCATATAGATACACATATACCTACGTCATATAGATACTAATACCTACGGAATATAGATATACATATACCTACAGTATATAGATATACATATACCTACAGCATATGGATAAACATATACCTACAGCATATGGATATACATATACCTACAGCATATGGATATACATATACCTACAGCATATGGATATACATATACCTACAGCATATGGATATACATATACCTACAGCATATAGATATACATATACCTGCAGCATATAGATATACATATATCTACAGCATATGGATATATTATATATATGTGTGTAGCATATGAATATACATATACCTACAGCATATATATATACATATACATACAACATATATATATACATATACCCACAACATATAGATATACTTATACCTACAGTATATAGATATACATATACCTACAGTATATAGATATACATATACCTACAGCATATAGATATACCTACATCATATAGATATACATATACCTACAGTATATAGATATACATATACCTACAGCATATAGATATACATATACCTACATTATATAGATATAGATATACCTACAGTATATAGCTACACATATACCTACAGCATATAGATATACATATACCGACAGTATATAGATATACATATACCTACAGTATATAGATATACATATACCTACAGCATATAGATATACCTACAGGATATAGATATATATATACCTACAGTATATAGTATATACATATACATACAGTATATTGATATACATATACCTACAGTATATAGTTATACATGCAACATATAGATATACATATATCCCCCACATGAAGTAGACACATCGTGATAAGGCAATTATTCAAAGCAGCGATTATATTCTGTAGGTTAAACACAACTCACTCACAAGTACACGCTCCACACCACCACCCACCCATTGTGAAGCCCCATTCTGGCGTCCCCGTCCGTGATATTGCTGGAATAATGCTAAAAACGGCGTAAAACCATACTCACTCACTCTCTTTCTCACACACTTCTCCCCCCACACCTTCCAATATAACCACCCATCAGATGTTTGTCAAATGAGGAAGGGTCTCTTCTGAAACAAACCCGCCACATAGACGTCATTCTAAATCCCTCAACTTTGCAGAACACAAACCATCAGAGTTACCCAGCACGGTTATGTGACCCTTCCCTACACAAGAATCACTACCCCTACTCGAGGTTACCCTAGCAGCTGATATATACCCAGAGAAGATCAAACACTTAACATAATAACAATAACATAGGGAAAACCAAACCCCATTATCCTGACCCTGGAGGGAAACGAAATACCCCACTGCTTTCGTTCAGTCTGCTCGGCAAACAGCCCTTGGGGTAGAATGTTTGCTCGTGTGGGGAGTAAACGCACGATCGTGTGTGGTTCTGATTCTCGCGGTCCTCGCTTGATCATAATGTTTGGGCATGGAGATATTCGAGATAAGCTGTCGGTGTTTAACAACGGTTTGTCCACACTCTCCTTGGTCGTGGGTTGTCGGGTGCTTTAGTCACAGCGTAAGAGGAGTTGTTGAGTTTAGGAACATCGACGTGTGAAAAAGTTGAAGGAGTGACGTTAGGCTATGGGTTTACTGACATTCTGATCGTGTACTGTTCCCGACCCAGGGAACAATCCTTGGTGAAATTCATGTTGTCTGACTGTGAGTGTTAATGGAGAAGATTCACTAAATGATACGAACGTTCTCAGAAACAAGAGGTAAGTAAAGCTTAATTTTATTCCTTTTATACAAATGTGAAATAGTTGGTGGGAGTGGTAACAATGCTATAGTTATATAATACATATGAGCTATACGACACTATCGACCTCAACTATAGTGAGTGAGTGAATGAGTTGAGTTTAACGCCGCACTCAGCAATATTCCAGCTATATGGCGGCGGTCTGTAAATAATCCAGTCCGGACCAGACAATCCAGTGATCAACAGCATGAGCATCGATCTGCGCAATTGGGAACCAATGACATGTGTCAACCAAGTCAGCGAGCCTGAACACGCGATTCCGTTAGTCGCCTCTTACGACAAGCATGGGTTACTGAAGGCTAATATTCTAATCCGGACATTCAAGGGTCGACATCCACTAGAAATCTTTGTCAAGGGCGAGTCGATTATGCCATGAGCATGTGTTTACGAATCGCATCACTCTGGTGTTTGCCAACAGGTGATCCTATCCTGACACATCGGTAGCACCGGTCATAAACATAAGCAGAGCTGGTCATTTTCGGCTTCGTAGGCTTTATACTCCAAAGGCTGATCCTGAGAAGATAGTGAGTTAGGGGTAAGGGAAGAGCAAGAGTGGGTTGTTATGGGCTGAACTGACGGGCTGACGCAGGTTAACAAAACAAACCATGAGGGAACCTGGGTTTTCGGCGCCCTAACACTTGTCCACTAAGCGTAACACCAACTTATGATAACTTACCACATGAATAGTCTTCAAATAATGGTTTTAGTCTAACTTGAGGGAAAGAAGAGGTTTGGATTAATCTGTTTCAGTTTGAGCGAGATTCGCCAGTATTTATGCCTGCTGGAGAGGTGTGAGACTGGGATCAAATTGTAAGGGTTTACCACCTGGATGATTGTGCGGGTTCGAGTCTCAGTTGCGAGGATCATTGCTCATGCCTTCAGTTATTGGTTTCCGACTGGGTTATTCACAGCATGCCCTATAAACTCATGTTTGAACTTGTTTGAACTCGTTGGAAATTTAAAAAGTTTGTTTTTAAAAGCTGTATGTACAATGCGAAACTGATTATCATCGCGTATCGCAATGCAATTTGGGTGTACAATGGTCCATGGTTTTACACAATGTGACGCAGTGGACTCACGGGTGTCTTCGGCGTGACAGACACGTGCCTTAACCACTAGGGCATAGAACCGTCCCTTCTTTCCGTCTTATCAAACATATTTAACATATATTTAAAAGCAAAGCAAAACAAAACAACAACCCCCCCAAAAAACCCAAACAAAACCCAAACAAAACAAAACAAACAAAAACAATTACAAAAAGATTGGAAAAAGACTACACAGCACCTATCCCATCCCCATTCGCCACCACCAAAGAAAACAAACATTCTACCAAAAAACAGAAATCCCCCCCCCCCCAAAACCCAATTAGCTTAAAAAGCAACCGGGTAGTGTTTGATTAACCTGAACCAAACTTGTTTAGATCGCAACTGACCTCTACAACATCTCAGCTGTTTCTTCACGAATAACGAGATGAATGATTTCTTAATGAACCGTAGGTGATCTTAAATTTACAGGTACCAAGTAATAATATAGTAGAGATCAATAGAATATAGAAACCCGTTTAAAATTGTTCGTGTTTATGCCGAGATATCGACTTACAGGTCCCTTAAAGACACGACAGGGATTCTACTTTTCAACAATACATGATTTATCTACATGATAAAATGACACTTTAAAACACGTACATAAAACTAATATATCATTACCTCAGTTAAATAGGCAATAAAAAGTTCAGCTGCATTGTCAACTACAATAACACCTCGAGACATGACACTCCACTGACCTATCGAATTAACGCCTCCATGCATTGGTGTAGGAGGTACATGTGTGTAAACTACTTGAGCTATTTTAATACATGTATTAGTTTACACAGCGAGGCACTGTGTTTTAGCATGATGTCCAAATATCACAATATATTCTGAAAAAATCAATGCATAATATAATATACAATACATAAACATGAATATTTTGGAAATGTTCTTTTGCAGTGAAGGCTCAAAACCCAATTTCACGATTACACCTACCCAAATTATCCATGATCCCTTATTTTTGTTGTTCAGTATACCTTTTACAGTCAGTGGAAGCCTGATCGACCATACAAATCTAACGAACTATAAATCTAACGCTACACTCCTTGAATAACTCACTTGTGTATTTTGGTCGGGATTAGGCGAGACAATTTCATTCAATAAAAAAAGCGATAGCGAACAATACTGCCTTCAAGTGGGACTGGCATTATTCATTATACATTCTATAAACAGAACGAGACAATAAAATCTGTCTTCAGGTCGCGTTTGACTGACGACGTCGGTGTAATCAGGAGGTATGTTTGTTGGTAAACGATCCGCCATCACTCACGTCAGCACGGGCCTATTGTGATGTTGGGCTCGGTAAGCCTATGTTAATATACTTACACAGATAGAAAGGCGCAGATACAATGTGATCTCACTCCTGAGTTTGTAAGCGTGACTTATTATCAATCATAAATCCACTGTTCCTTATCTGCTGGATTAAAGATGAGTTAACGTGTGTGGCGTTATAGGGAAATGAAAATTCAAGCGCTTCGCCTTGTAAAGATATCAATACTGAGGGGATATGCGTTTTTAAAATATATTTTGTTGTTGTGAAGACACTATTTCATAAATTACTCCCATAAATAATAAAGTCTTTTATTTGACATATGAGCATGGAATTTGGTCTTTAATCATTTTAAAGAGACAGCATGATTCGTGATGGAAACAACGTAGTGCTTCATCCGAAGCAATCGTTCTTGTCAATCATTTAATTTTTATCTTCTGGAAGCTATTTAGGGACACGTGTTCGTCAGTTACCTAATTCGATTTTTGGATTAGCGTCTTTGACCCTTGGTCTTTGTTTCGAATCCCAGATCCGCAGTGAAAGTCCTGCTACATCAAATTTACACGCCACGATTTTACTGACATACTGCTAATCACTTTAAACCAAACTCACACGCAACAGAAGGATTCTGATAACCCTTTAAATAATGGACGGTTCTGAAAAATCTTTATTGAACAGACCCTACTCCTAGCAAACTAATGATTGATATTAAGAGCAAAGTCCCACCGAGTCTGATCGACATTCTCATTGATCCGCCCATTACTACCAGCATAGGTTGCTAAATGGTTAATCTAACCCGGAATTCCTTTGGAAATAAATCAGTCATTGAGACGTCCGATGTAGACGTTAAACTCTTTGTGAAACCTACTAGCACAGACGTGGTCCAGACAGATTAAAAAGGGTGCACATAATATGAACAACTCCACGCTATCGGGCAGACTACACTACAAATACAAGCCACTTTACAGAACATGCAGGATGAAAAAACGTCTTATACACATTCTAAATTACCTTTTAAGCTTTGAATTACATTATAAATCCTTCATGTATTCAAACGCAGCAAATACGTCTTTTATTCTAAAAGAATAAAAACAAATAAACCAGTTCATGTGTACATATAAAATAATTCTAACATGAGCCATAGTTCTGCCAAATCAAACAGATATTTAAGAGACATATTAAGGACCACTCCAATGCAAATATATGTCGACCACCCTCGGGTCTTCTATAAACCATCACCGGTCTGCAGGGGATTGCTAACACGGGTAACATAGACTGCTCTCTTCGTGGAGATCGCTGCCTCTTTGTTGTTGTTGGGTTACCGGTGAAGCTACACCCTCGCCCCCTTCACTGAGACCCGGAAGGTTCAGTCAACAACAGGAATATGTAGAGAGTCGGGTGACTAACGTATTGTTCGGGTTGTCTTCATTCTCTACGACGGATGAACCATATTGACTCGTGGCTGACTGGGTGTACTGCAAGGAGAGTTTCTACGTGCGTTTTTGTTTACCGTGAAACGTCCCAGTGGGTGTTGTTAGACACGGACAAACGTGAACATACATGAGGTAAGAGATAGAAGACAGACTTGACTGTGCGTTTGATTCAGAACGCTTTGACTTGACACCTGTGTTGTGTAATTGAGCGTTAGGATGATTTATGAATGTAACATATCATGTTAAATATAATATACTTATCGGCAAATAAAATAAAAGGTAATTTTTTTGTACGCTTTAGATAACACTCCCTTACAAACGTCTCATTATATGCATATGGTAAATATGTCATTAATATGTTGTCTAAAGCGCCGCAAATCGCTAAGTACAGTTGAGTCTATGGGTTTGCCTGACTGTAACCATCAGCAACGTACACGTACTCCATGGTTTCACTAAAGTAGTAAACATTTAAGACCTTCGTCAGTTTGGACTTTCCTCCCACAGCAGGCTCATATCGTGTAATAATAATCAAACAGGTATTGAAAACAATCAGTCACTCTCCTTATACACACACAGTGAGTGAGTTAATATCTATAGTCACATCGACTGTATTTCAGTTATATGATGACTAAAACTAGTTATACATTAGTAATACATTTTTAGACTATAAAACCTGTCGGCAAGCAAACGTAAAAGAACTGGAACATCACAGATATAGATTTAAAACTAGTATGTAAATTGTATTACTCAATTTTACTGTTAAAATTACTATACATTTTTAGACTATAAAACCTGTCGGCAAGCAAACGTAAAATAACTGGAATATCACAGATATAGATTTAAAACTAGTATGTAAATTGTATTACTCAATTTTACTGTTAAAATTACTATTTAAGATAACAAAAACAAGTATGATATCAGCAGGTATTGCAAAAAGAATAAGCATGTCCTCATCTTCTGGCAGCATGCAACATTGACACAACTTACATGAAACGTGTCTATTTTCAAACCTATCGCCGTCCAACAGTACTCAATTTAAATGTCGGCCGACAGTAAATAAACCACACCGAAAAAAATATTAATGTTTTCATATGCGAAATGAACCCAGCGATCAATTAATTTCATAATACAGTCGGGGTAATATAAGTAAACCATGGACATATTTGTT